TCATTTGATGTTTAAATCTGGATCTTTCGAGGTGGAAAGGTCCGCCTTTAATCTGGGCCATACCTTCTTCAGGTCACCTAAATGACCTGGAAGAAGGAAGCTTGCTCTCTTTTGTTGCCTGCTTGCCCTCGCCCTTGCTGGCAAGACCATTCCTTCACTGGCATTACAACCTACTTCTTCAGAATTCAGACAGGTACTGAAGATCAGCTGAGACATCCAGCCTAATGGGATGAACAACTACTGGATTCTTGGACCTTCGGTCGGTAGACAGCCATTGTTGGACTAGCCCAATCATAGCCATTCTGATAAATCCCATAATCTGTTTTCCATAGTGACCGCACTATTTTGCATTTCAACCAACATTGTTCATGATAGCCAAGAGATGAACAACTTGGAAACACTCTCCTAGGGTGTGAATGGATAATGCAAATGTTGGCTAATGCAAGTGGATAATATGAAAGTACAGTGGAATATTGCTCAATTCTTTTATTATTATTATTATTATTATTATTATTATTATTATTATTATTGGATTTTTTTTTTACACAGGATTTCTATGTATTGCTTTGGAATCTGTCCTGGAATTCTATCTGTAGACTAGGCTGGCCTTGAACTCACAGAGATTCTCCTGCCTCTGCCTCCGGAGTGCTGGGACTAAAGGCGTGTGCCACCAACACCCAGCATTTGTTGTGTTCTTAAAAAGAAGAAATTGCTATCATATACAACAACACAGATAAACCTTGGGATTACACTAAGCAAACTAAGCCAGTCATAGGAAGAAATACTTATATACAGAATATGAAGATAGTCAAACAGATAGAAAAGAAGCAGCGTGATGGTTGGCAGAAGATAAAGTAGGGTAAAGACAGAGGTGCTGTGCAGTGGGTATGAAGTATGTCACCTCCAGATGGCATCTAGGGATCTGTTGTACAACATTGTGCCTATAGTTAACCGTGTTGTACCATGCAGTTAACAGTTCAGACCTCACATTAAATGCTTTTACCATAATTTTAAAACACCATTGAATAGGGGCTGGAGAGATGTCTCTGTGGTTAAGAATGCTTACTGCTCTTCCAGAGGACTCCAGAGGGTTCCTAGAAGCCACATCCAGCTCCTCACAGCCTTCTGTTATTTTAACTCCAGGTGCTCCAACACCTCTGATCCTCATGGGCAACTACACTCACATGCAGACACACACATGCAGACATATGCATGCAGACACACATGCAGACACTCTGCATACACTCACATGAAGACTCACACATGCACACATGCATATACTCAACATGCAGACACATGCATGGAGACACATACATGCATACATTCATGCATACACACTGCATACACTCATATGCAGACTCACACATGCATACACTCATATGCAGACTCACACATGCATACACTCATGCATACACCTACATGCAAACACACAATGCACACATGCATATACTCACATGCAGACACACTCATGCAGACATACACATGCAAACACACACATGCAGACTCACATGTAGACACACACATGCAGGCACATGCAAACACTCACATGTAGACACACATGCAGACACTCACATGCATACATTCACATGCAGACATGCAGACACTCACATACATACACTCACATACACCCACATGCATACATTCACGTGCATACACTCACATACATACACTCACATGCAGATACTTACATGTATACACTCACATGCAGACACACATGCATACACTCACATGCACACATACATACACTCACATGCAAACATACAAATGCACACAGGAATATACTCACATGCAGATACTCCCATGCAGACACACATGCATATACTCACATGCAGACATACACATGTAGACACACATGCAGACATTCACATGTGGACACTCACATGCAGACACACATGCAGACATATACATGCAGACACACATATGCTGACACACAGATGCACTCACATGCAAACATACACATGACACACACATGCAGACACTCACATGCAGACACTTACATGCAGACACACTCATGCAAACACACATGCAGACATATGCATGCATACACTCACATGTAGATGCATGCAGACATAATACCTACACATAATTTTTTAAAAATAGCCCAATAAACTAAATAATTTATTGCAAATAACTATACAGGAGAAATACGGAATGGCAGTTCAGTAGCAGACGGGGAACTTAGGGAGGCTTCCAGGTGTAATTATGTCACAGCCTGCTTCTGTGGCTTTAAGCACGTTTCTAGACTAACCATCATTTGCCCATTTGTGAAATGGCAAACTTGGATTAGAGTTAGATGAGGGCTAAAGTTGTCTCTCAGGTTACCTGTGAAGCTGGAGCCCATCGCTTCCAGTCTTCCTGTTCCTATCCCCACTTCACCATTCTTTCCTCAACGGATCAACACTTCTCTTTCAACTTCGTTCTTTCTTATCTATGAATGCCGTTCTTTCATCATCTATGCAATCAGTATGCTTACTTGCTGCACTTACAGTGCCTTGAAAATATTATCTCAGATTCAGGCTGTGTAGATAAGAACCCTGCAATTACCAAGGTGGAGTGCGCTCAAAGCCAACGGCTTCATTTTGGTCCATACTAAACCCAGTTCAACTTGACAAGCTTTCCCAAGGCTGGCTGCCTTTTTTT